ATCCGCGGGGACGATTGACCTTCAAGCGACGCTCAGACAGGCGTAGCCCCGGGAGGAACCCGGGGCCGCAAGTGCGTTCGAAGTGTCGATGATCAATGTGTCCTGCAATTCACATTAATTCTCGCAGCTAGCTGCGTTCTTCATCGACGCACGAGCCGAGTGATCCACCGCTAAGAGTTGTCACGAGGCTTTTATTTTCGGGAGGCTTATCTGAGTGTCCCCAGAGCTACCGGACTCACTACAATCATGGATAGAGCACAGCAGTGTGTTTCAAAGGGGTCTCTTTTGCCTTTCTTCCACCAACTAGAACATTAATCACTAATGCTTCCACAATAGCTTGGTGAGTGCATTTGGGATCATTAGAGATTCAGTGTTTTGTGGGAAGAGCAGGAGACCTCTTGTCATATCAATGTACTGGAGCTTCAAGCAGTATACAATGTCTGTTGGGCCTTTCAGAATCAGTTCCAGTGAGCCACAGTTCATACTCACTGACAATACCACTACAGTGCATTATGTGACCAAGCAAGAGGTCGCTTCCCAGGCTTTCAAAACCAGCTGGCTGATCACCTCAGCAGGACTTTTTCAGACAACTGTGAGTGATCCCTAAAGAATAGTGTGCTGAGATCTATTTTTGGAGAAAGGGGCGTCCCTTTTATCAACATATTTTTGACAAAGGACAACAGGAAATGTTGTCAGTTCTGTTCCCAGGTGGTGCTCAGCCTGGGATCTGTAACCAATTATTTTCATCTGAATTGGGGAGCTCAAATTGGACTATGCCAAGGTAATGCTGATTACACTGGCCTGACTGAGGCAGTGTTGGTTTTCCGATCTTCTCACCCTACCAGCTTGGCCTCCTAAGTCTCTCCCTACCACCTGACTCAACATCCCAGCCAGTTTGTTCATTCTACATTGGACAGTCTGCACCTTACTCTTTGGATGTTGCATGGCTAAATGAGGAGGAGAGGAAATGCATGGTATCTACAAGGTCCACCTAAGTGGAGATGTCTTTCAATTTGGGCAACATCAAATCAAATTCAGCTCATGTCAGCTCAGATTCATGATATTCGGTACTACGTGCTGCATTTAAAATCTTGTGAAGTAGCTCTTAGCTTCCTGAAGGTCCACTTGGCTGCAATCTTAGCTTTCCATCTTCCTGTCTAAGGAAAGAGGGTATTCTCAAGGCTATGATAGTTAGATTTCTGAAGGGTATTGTCTGCCTTTTTCCACCAGAGAGGAAAATGGTGCCATTATGGCTCTTAATACAGTGATGGCAGTGCTTATGAGTCTGCCTTTTTGAGCTGATAGCACCATATTTGTGGTCTCTCCTCACCTAGAAGACAGCCTCCCTGATGGCTATAACATCTGCAAGACGAGTCAGCGAATTGCAGGCCTTATGGCAGACGCGTCATATATGCAGTTCTTCAAAGACAAGGTATCATTGAGACCACTCCCAGAATTTTTGTCTAAGGTGCTGTCTCACTTTCATTGTAATCAGGTTATTTACTTAGTTATATTTTCTCCCAAGCCACAATCAGTTCCCTGGGCGAAGAGTCTGTATTACTCATTTTCCCAGTGTCTCTAACTCTAAAAGTGATGAACAAGATCAAGCAGGACAAGGACCTCTTGATAGTCCTTACATGGCCAATATATGCATGGCATCATTACCTTTTTTGATTATCTCCTTGTCTGGTGATCAACCTTTCATGCTTCCCTCGTCCCTCTTAAGATGCAAACTGACTGCTTCATCCCACCCTAAAGAGTCTCTGCCTCAAGGCATAGGTCCTTGATGGTTCGTGGGCATACAGTCCACTTGTTAGGTAGAGGTCCATAAAGACAGCCTTTTTAATAATCATTACATTGGCTTGAAGAGTTGGGGAAATCAGAGGGCCTTTTTGGTGGGTCCTTCCTTTACAGTATTTTTCAAGGATAAAATTTCCCTACATCCACATCCCAGATTCCTTCCTAAGGTATCTTCCGAGTTTCATCTGAGCCAGACCATACGTTTACTGTTCCCTCTGTGTCAAAAGAGCATTGGCTTTCTATCTCGATAGGAGCAAACCATTTTGGAAGTCTCTGAGACAAATAGTCTACATTGTAGACAAATCTAAGTGTTCCTCTATTTCTACCCAGAGATTTCAAGGTAGATGTATTATCACTTGCTATCAGATTGCCAATGCTTAATCTCCTGCTAGGGTTCTGGCCCATTCTACTAGGTTGCAGTCAACATCCTGGCCTTATTTAAGGACATTCCAGTACCTGAAATCTGCAGGGCCAGTATATGGTCTTCAATACATACCTTCTCCAAATGCTATGCCTTGGTTCATGCCTCTAGATCTGATGTAGCAGTAGGCAGTGCAGTTCTGTCTTCTGTACTAGACTCTATTCCGAAACTCCCTCCTCCTGTGGTACTGCTCAGAAGTCACCTGAAGTGAAGCACCCATAGGGACACTACTTGAAAGAGAGTGAAAGGTTACTTACTCTGTGCAGTAACTGTCGTTCTTCAATATGTCCTTATGGGAGATCCACTGTTCATCCTCCTTTCCCTTTGCTTCAGAGTTTTCTTTGTGGGATTTTGCAGTAGAAAAGGAACTGAGGGTGGTTCATCCGTGCAGTTTTATATATCTTCAGCAAGGCATGGGGATCTGTGGGGCCCGTGCATGTGCCCAACTGACTGCTAATGAAAATCTCTGCTCAAAGGTACATCCGCACCTGAAGCGGAGCACCCCATATTGGGACACAACTTGAAGAAATACAGTTACAGGATGAATCACCTTTTCTTCTTTTCATCCCCTCTGCATCAGAGTTTCCAGCCTCAGTTTTGGTGCAAAGGAACTAAGGGAGGGTCGGGGTGCTGCCCTTATGTAGCCACAGTAGGGACTACGAGGGAAAGGGCACTAGCTCCGCCCTTACACATATTATTAAACAAAGTCCTTCGGCTTTGGTGGCTTGGCGTGCGCACACCTGAGTGGAATACATGTCTGCACCCACATCTCAAAGAACAACAATTATGCTACTGGTAAGTAGCCAACTTTTTCCAAATGGAAAAGGTCACAGTATTGTGAACGAATATGAAGAGTTGGAGTATAGACTTATTTCTCAGTGTCCATTTGAACTGTAAGTTCAATATTTAAATAGTTTTAAATATTTCAGGCTTAAAAGGCTTTGGTTACAAATAAATTTTAAAAAAATAAACTGTTTCTGTTGTAGTGGATTTAGTTAACTGGCACACACTGAGCTTTGATAAAATGTAAAATTCAGTACAAAAGCTTAGATTTACATTTCAAACTTGTAATTATGACTAAGCTGTGGTGATGTTTCCTTTTAATAGAAGGAGAAGCTGGAAACCGTGCCTCTGAGAAGCCAATGGTGTCCGAGAATGGTGAAGTATCTAATGATCTTCCACCTCATGTCACCCAAAGGTCCGTTCCTATCTCTCTGTTCCTTTCTAACCTAACTGTAACAGGTCTGAAGAAGGCAATTATCTTGAGAGCAGATAAGGACACTTTTAACAATAAATTGCTGCTAATGATAGTCTGCATGAAGATGATGTATCAAATGATTCAACCCAGTACACCTAGATATGGATGACTTCATTGTCTTAATGAACAGTTATTTCCAGTTTGTAATTTTTGTTGAATTCAATGTTATCATTTTAGTTCATAGCATGCCTTGGTATAAATGGTGCTATCTTAAATTACAATGTACAGATTGAGAATGAAATAATGAGATGAATATTACATGAATGCATTTCCCATACTACTGAGGTGGAGAACTCTCCTTATTTTTTTTATCTTTTCAAATACAAATTTCCTCTGTATGTCCAGGCAAGATAGCAAAGGTGGTTCTTTGATTGCACATGTGTGTTCTGCTCTTGGTGGGTGCACCACCCAGGCATAGTTGTCAGAAATTTTTTCCTCAGTGGACCTTTCGGGGCAGCTTGAGTGCCCTCTACTACCGCGTGCCACTGCATGCGGATAGGGCCAAGCTGCTCTTGAAACCTCGCTCACCTCAGTTTCTTCTTACTGCCCATGATGGTGGTTCGAATCTGTTGGTCTTGCATTAGCAAGTGCTCTCAGCATGTTTTTTCTTGTATATAGTTACATGTTTGTACAGTTATTAGGGACAGTTGGTGTTTGTTGAGTTAGTTTAGTGTCTGTTAATTCTTTCTCGGTTCCCCAAGTTTGGGGGTCTGTTGTAAATACTGAGGAATGCTTCAGTCACTGGGCTTCAAGCCTTGCCTGGCATGACTGAAGCCTTTGCCTGTGGGTGACCCTCACTTTAGTTGTTTAAAATGCTTGAGTGAGTTTCATATTAAGGATCGGTACCAGATTTGCAAGGACTTCAAGTCTAGAATCATAGAATATCAGGGTTGGAAGGGACCTCAGGAGGTCATCTAGTCCAACCCCCTGCTCAAAGCAGGACCAATTCCCAACTAAATCATCCCAGCCAGGGCTTTGTCAAGCCGGGCCTTAGAAACCTCCAAGGAAGGAGATTCCACCACCTCCCTAGGTAACCCATGAAGAATGGGTTCCAGTGCTTCACCACCCTCCTAGTGAAATAGTGTTTCCTAATATCCAACCTAGACCTCCCCCACTGCAATTTG